CCAAACCTATGGCCAGGCAAAGACACTGTAAATACCCCAAAGGAAATCTATCCCACAACTTTTCTATACAGGCTTGTGCATATTTCATGTGATATCTAATTGGTAAATATTTATAAGCATTTTGAATATAACCATTTGACGCAATGGTTTATTTAACAATTTAATTTCAAATCTTGCATGAAATATTTCTGCTTTTTATCCCCCTCTTTTCGCTAAGCTTTGTTTTCTTTATACAATATTTTTTTACTTGGGGGAGTTTTCTGTTCATATTTACAGAATTACTTCTCCATTTTTTTTTTCTGCTGTCTCTTCTCAAAATGCTAATCTAAGCAATGGTGTATTTCTCTCCTTGTTATATGTGTATGTATGATGTAGATTAAATACAAAGAGCCAAGATCTCAAAGAAACATAAAAAGAGACTCTGTGCAATGCGCCTACAGCTTTAATTTGCACAGCAAATTTAATGCTACCCAGAAATGCCAGATAAGTTCCTGGTCTTATTTTTTTCTCATTTCACTTAACTTTCTTACTCAAACTACATCTCTCTGACCTGAAACAGTTCTTTTCTCAAAAAATCTGGTTGGTTTTGAACAGATGTGGAGACATGACAGAGTTCATTTAGAACATAATCAACAGATAATAATAGGGTACTTGCAGAAATTGCAGTGAATGACAAGTACCATCAGCCTTTTCAAAACAGCAAAATTAGACATTTTTAACTCCACATGCACAACAGTGTTAGAAGAAGCAGGAAATTACTAATTTGGAATCCTTTTGTTACATTCTAGTTTTTAAAAAATGATATTGTAACATTCTCAGGCATTATCCTGATCCTGCTCTGCTCACTGCCTCTATTGGAAATAAAATTCTCTTCCATGTGTTATTTGAAACAGAACTGGCTCTCTTGCTTACTTGCTTGTATCCCTCATCTTCCTCCCCAAGGCTTGACAGCACTCAGCCTGTCAGGACGAGGCCCCAGTGTCTCTCATGTATGATCTGCAATTTTCACTACTGTAAAAATCCATCTGGTTTATGAGCTTTTTAATCCTCAGACTTCCATAATATGGTGCCTAACTGGAGAGCTTGGGAAGGTTTGGGTTATTGTCATTGCCTGTGTCTGCTTCTGCTGCCCTGCCAGGAGACCCGAGCTGGATTTTGTGTCTCCAGCCCTGAGTTTCTGGCTGTGGTACAAGTCTGACCCTGCTTGCTGCCCACTGCCTGCCCAGGCTGGCAGCCAGGATGGTTCTCCACAAAACTTATTTAGTCAGTAGGGCTATGAAGTGCCTGGTTCAGGGCTTGAACCTGGCTGCCAGGGCAGTGGTGAAGTGGGGACTGTCCCTTTGCACCCCAAGACACAATGGCCATCTGCCCCTCGGTGTTCTGGCAGAGTCAGAAGTCCTCAGGGCTTGTTACACCCTTGGTGTAACAAGAATCACAGAGAATCACAAAATAGTCTGAGTTTGAAGGGACCCACACAGATCATCAAAGTCCAGCCCCAAGAATCCCATCATGTTCCTGATAGTGTTGGGCTCCTTGAGCTCTGTCAGATGCGGTGCTGTGACCACTGCCCTGGAGAGCCTTTTCCAGTGCCCAGTCACCCTCTGGATGAAGAATATTTTTCTAATATCCCACCTAAACCTCTCCTGACACAGCTTCATGCCATTTCCCCAAGTTCTTTAACTGCTCACCAGTGTCTGGAAGTATATGGAAATGCATCCTTGTTCTTCTTCACCTCTTCCTCCTACCCCTTACTAATCTCTGCCCTTCCATCCACTGTCCCAGCACTCCTTCCTGCAGGGAAAGCAGCATCTTGCATGTTTCCAAATGTGTGAAATACAGACAAATGTGTGAAATACACAGTGCTGGCATGAACACCCATAGAGTTTGGATGCTGCTTGTGAATAAATCTCCTTGGCTTCCTTGGGATTTTTCCCGTGCGTCAGAACTCACAATTCAGGGTTTTAGATGCAGGTACAGAATTTTTTTCTTGCGTCACCAGAACTGTGCTTTGCCAGCCAGGATCAGGAGAAGCATGGCTGTCAGATCTCTGTTAATCTCAGTTTTTAAGTAAAGAATAATGTGTGCTTGAGAGAAATACCTTGACATGAGGAGAGTCATTGAGTGTGTTCTCGCCATCATGGTGATCAGGATTTTCTATGATGAACTGTGAGCATTAAGGAGGCCAGAACAAAGATGACAAATGATTTTGTAAAAGGGATCATCAGAAGACACAGCAAGTTCAGTGATCTTTGAGACTTGTCTTAACAGATGAGCAGTCCCCTGAGAGATGTAATCTGCCTGCCTGCCTGGCTGCAGAATTGCTGGAGGGCAGTTTATTTTTTTATTATTTTATTTTATTTTATTTTATTTTATTTTATTTTATTTTATTTTATTTATTTTCTTTGTACTGCCAATATCTTGGATAGGATGTATGACTGCTTGTGTCTACTTAAAAATCAGAGTAAAAAACTTTGAGGAAATCATCCATAGTTCCTACAAATGTACAGAACCAGTAAAAACATTAAGGTTGGAGATGTGCATAAAGTTGGATCTTGATAGAATTTTCCAGCTGGGAACCTGCCATTTGCAGGTGCTTTGGAAGTACTTTCCTAGTTGCTACTAAACATCTTTCCTTCAAGAAAGGAGAAGAGGGAAAATAAGCAAGTCTAATACAAACTAGTTGTTCAGATGATGTGGAAGTGGTGATGAGAATTACCTAAAATGCGCTGGTTGAGAGACAAGCTTGTGAATCTTGCAAACAGTACATAGAGAACGGTATTGAACCTCAGCAGAGTTCCCACCCTTGTTTTATTTTAAGCTGCTGGGCTAGTTAAGCATCTCCATTACCTGTAGGAACAAGGCATTTCATTCCCACCCTACATGTTTCCAGATCTATCTATATTTGCTGTCCTTCACTATTTCTGTAATTATTTTGAGGCCGATATTTTTGTTTGGGCATCTATTCTCTCAGTGAAGAGGTAAGCTTTCAATTTATTGAAATTAATCTTGGTGTGGGGAAGATTAAAGCATGGAATTGATTTGAGAGGAGTGCTTTGAAGCCATCAAATACAATCTGTCTTTCATTTACATTTCAGACTTTACCTCACCCTGTATTTGAAAACATTTACTTCACAAATCCTATCTATCTCCACAAAATGCTCAGGTACTAGATTTAGATGTAAGTGGACCATCATCTTCTGTCCGAGACATAAGAACATCTTAAATCTTAGTAGTGCTCTAGCTTGGCACTATTATGGGAGTCTTGGTGCCCCAGCTTCTGCAGTGGGGCATTCACCCAGATAAAGATCTGCTTCTTGTACTCTTATGTCTCCTCTTAATGAAGAGTTGAAAGTCTCACTCCTCTCTGTTAACAACACAATTAGAACACCTGGTCTGATTACAGCACTCAAGGACAGAGAATTCAGATCTAAACTTTTTAGATGCATAAGAGGATGTAAACATACAAGTTTCACCTTGCAGAAGGTGTCAGCAGTAAAATCCCTGCTATTCCCCAGCTGTCTTCAGCCCCTTCTCCCAAACACGGATCAGAAATGGCTTCTTCCCTCTCCTGTGAGAATGCCCCACTTGCAGCCCTGAGGGGCTTTCTTCTTCCCTGTGATTATTATTCTGTAATTATTCAAATATTCTGTGTTCTTCCCAGCTCTTCCATGCAAGAAAAGCAAAGTTGGGACACGCACACACATTCATGGTAGAAGTAACCTCAAACCTATGACAAAGCCATTAAACCAACTGATTTAAAAAATTCATTATCATCTCAGTTCTGAAGGGGAAAAACTGACCAAAGAAGTTAAGCCACCTCTAATTAAGTGTTTTAGACAGTGCTGTTCTAACTAATTAATGAATGTTTGTACAGTGCTTCGAGATCTTTGTGTAACAGGGAAGGCTTATATGTTGCTATGTGTAAATGATAGAATAGATAATTAAGAAAATACAGAAGCACAAAGCCAGGTCACCCTTATCACTTCATCATAGCCACGTTTAACTATCTTTTTCTTTTGGCTGATAGCTTAATTAGATAAGGTACTGAATTTAATTAACTCATCAAACCTGATTTGAAAAGACCTCTCAAATCAGTTAGAGCTTGTCTTATGCTTATTATTCCTATTTGTTGCATGGAGCCTTTAATATCACCATTTTGTTATGATATTAATGGTAGACTTAATAGTGTTCTAATTTACAACATTTACTCAGATGGTGACACTTTTCTTGTTTTTTAAGTGTCAGCATGTGAAAATCAATCACAATTTAATTTAAGGCATGGAATTTACTCTTCTAGTCCTCTGTCAAGTCAGGTACAGGCTATCTCTTTCCCCACAAGTGTAATTTGAGTTTTCAAAGTGAAATTATTTTGCAGGAAATCATGTCGCGTTTCTGAAGTTCCATTTCTTGGAGAGGTGTTGTGACAATGATCATCTGGATGCTCTTTCAGGAATGTTTAACTAAATTCTAAGGTTTGAGGCTGAAGTTGGAATTGCAACTATATAATTCATTTGAACATATCTGTATGTGATGCTCCAGCTTGTTCTACCAGTTTGAAACTTCTTGAAAGTTATGAAATAAAGAATTACTAGGAAAGAATCTAAACTGAAAATTTTGCTGTTTATTTTAACCTGTTAGCAGGACCTATTTTTTGGCCATATTTTTACATTCCTAGAGATACACCACACAGACAGCAGAGATCAACTGATTGCTAAAAATCAAAATTTCCCTAGAAATTATTTAATTGTTCTTTAAAATGAGTTCTATTATCATGCAAACTATGCTGCTGATAGAGACATTGCTAATTAAGTCTGGAGGAGTTCCTGTACTTTTGTGAGAAGCCATCAACATGCTGTGTAAATCAAATGCTTTCTTACTCTTCCAGGCAGCAATTTTGCAGAAGTAACCTTGCTCACCATTGCTCTTTCTTTTTACATTTAGTGTTTGTAGCCCAGCCTTCCAACACATAATTAAATACCTTTTTTTCTATTTTCCCTCAGAACGACTACAGGAAGTTATCTATGCAATGCAAGGACTTTGTTGTGGGAGTGTTGGACCTGTGCAGAGACACTGAAGAAGTGGAGGCTATTCTGAATGGAGATGTGAACATCCAGCTGTGCCCTGAGCACCACCGGCCAAGTTTGAGCAGGATTAAACTTGCTATTAAATACGAGGTCAAAAAGGTAAGCTCTTCCTTTGGGTCCCTGGGGAAAATGTCTTCACATTTAATTATGCTTCCTTGATGCCACCTGAAAAATAAACAAAAGGTAGATTTCAGTTGGACTACGACTGTCCCTAGAATTTTAGCACCTTGTGGCTTGATTTGCATTTTCTCACATTCTTTAATATGGAGAAGTTTATCTCCAAAGTGAAAAATAAATTCTTCTAGAAGTATTTGAAACAATTAGTCAGCCTTACAGAAGTGTGTTGTGTGAATGGAAAATGTTATTCTGGCAAATTCTAAGCCTGGGTGGTCCCCAATTAATTGCTCCTACAATATGCTTTGATGGAAACTGGGCTCCTGCTACAGGACTTGAAGTGCATTCCAAATTTTCGAGCTAACATCTGCTCTCTCGTTCCCCTCCCAAACCCACCACCTGCTTCATTTTGCCTCTTGACTGTGCTGCTGAGCTGGCTGGAGAAGGTCTTTTCCTGTTATGAAAGCCATTAATTAAAGAGAATCTTAAAACATATTTGAAATTAAATGCTTTCATGCAGAAGCACATAGTATGGAGCCAAATATTCTCTCCTTAGATGTTGTGTCTCTGCTTTGTTCCATCACCAAAACCAAGCTGAAAATCTCAGTTCACGCTCAGTCAGATGTTCAACAAGCTGGGTCAAGTTTAGTTATTCAAACTGTTGCTTTGGTAACAGGAGGCCAAACTTCCTCTGGTGCTCTTTCAGAAAATGAAATTATCTAAAAGACACAGATAGTAACTTATCAAGGAACAGTGCTCAGTGATCCATGACCTGAGAATCATCAGTCACAGACTCACAGAACACTCTGAGCTGCAAGGGACCTGTGTCAGAACCTCGGGTCTTTCCAATGTGTGAATTCTCCCATGTTACTTTGCTCATTTATCCTTCTGAAAATTGGTGTCATCCTTTTGATACCAAGGCCATGAGCTGGAGCTGCCATGCTGCTCTGAGCACTCCCACCCTGGCTTACCTGGTTCCAGAGGGACATTCCCCCAGTTCTTACCCTGTCTATATGTGCAACTTTTCATAGTGCAGGAGCATTGACCTAAAGCACCACTGGGAGGTCATGTACAGCTGATCTTTTCATGTATAAATGTCTTCCTAATCCCAGGAAAGCTGAGCATCCTTTGTGGATCACAGCAACTTGTTGCACACTGCTAACAACTGTTGAACTAATTACAGGATATGAACATGAGCATTCAGCAGTCTCGTGGTGACTCTCAGGTCAGCACTTTTCAGCACATTCTTTTCAGCAGCTGGTGTGTGTGCCTATGTGTAAGATGAGTATTTAACTGCTAACTGCAAAACAAGACCATTCAATCTCTGGGAGACACAGACACACTCAGATAAATGGCTTTGGCAGTGACATGATAATGGACTGATATTGGTCACACTTGCTGAACAAAAACATTGTGTTTGGTAGCACAGTAATTAATTCCTTAAAAGGCAATGCATTTCAGGTGCAAGCTTTTTATTCAGTTGAGAGATATTTCGGTTTATGTGTACAGATCTTGTGATTTGAAATCCATTTCCATTTTCAGGAAATGCTATTATAGAGTGGGGTCAGAGGGAGGGTGAAGTATAATACATACTTAATAAACTGATTCTTGGACAGATTCTGCAAATTTCAAGTCACTTTTTCAAAGCTAATGACTCATTATGACTAGACCTTGTCCAGTTCTGGGCTCCTCAGTACAAGAAAGATGTGCAGCTCCTGTAACAGGTCCAGCAGCAAGAAAGATAATTAAGGCACTGGAGCATCTTTCTTATGAGGAAAGGCTGAGGGAGCTGGGCCTGTTCAGAGCTGAGAGGACACCCCATCAATGTCTGTCAGTGCCTGCAGGGAGGGTGTCGAGAGGATGCTCCAGGCTCTGCTCAGTGCTCCAGCTAAGAGGACAATAGACAGCAGACAGAAATTGATGCCCACGAAGTTCCACCTGGATATGAGTAGAATTTCTTCATTGTTCATGTGACCAAGCACTGGAAGAGATTGCCCAGAGAGTGTGGAGTCTCCCTCACTGGGGATATTCAAGAACTGTCCCAACATAATCCTGTGCCATGTGCTCTGGCATGACCCTGCTTCGGCATGGGTTTTATAGAAAACAAATTCAGGGACTTCAGAATGGTCTGACAACAGGGCGGGGGGAAAAAGGTGTTAGTGATAATGAGTTATTTTTTCATTAATTTCATATCCAGACTAAATGTTTTCACATGCATGGGAAATTTTAAGAAATATTCTATGTTTAAAAAATCTATTTCTACCATTAGTTTCTTAATTCACATTTCCATATTAATACTCAGTGCCTACATTAGGCTTTCTTTGATGAAAAATTGCAGAGAAGCATGAAACACATTGAAAATTATTATTTAATATCCATTACTTTACTTTTACAGATGCTGATGCAGTCTGTATTTCATCACATTTTTATTTCTAGAGTCTGGGAAAGAAGTCAAGGACTCCCACCCTTGGACAGAAGAGCGATTGCATCTGCATAGTTTCATCAGGCCTTTGCAAAATCTTTTTAAATCTTCCTTGTTCTTCCAAATTTCTTCACTGTCCTCATACAGTGCAGTTACTGCAGCCACAGCTGTCTAAGGAAAATCTTGTGTTCATATTAGAGCTGAAGCTCAGTAAACCTGCAGCTGGTACCTACAGCAGGTTTTTGTCCATGCCCTAAATGATCTGTCTCTGAATTTTTCCTTCTGTGCTTCCAATTAAAGTCTCCTGTTATCTCGTTCATTTTCAACTTCAAAAAATAATTCTCTGGTCAAGTGAAAGGACACGGTTTTATTGATCATTATCTTTTTTCCTAATTCACAAAGTTTGAGATGAACCTTGTAAAGACATTCAAGGAAGCATCAAAAATTACAGGCTTTACTTGTTGGTCTCTTTTTTCCTTTTCTTTTCTTCTGCAAAGCATCCTACTAACACATCTGAGAAAATGGTGAGGAGCTTAAGGCTCTAATTCAAGGACTTTCTATAAGAGATATTTGAAGAATTAAGAAAATGCTTTTACATATTTTGCAGCAAGGAGAAACCCAAAATTACAGTAGTCTATAAAGTGCTAATAAAAATGGTGTATTGCTGTTATTCTTCACACTTTTTGAAAGAACTAAATAATCACTCTGTACTCCAGGATTTTTGGAAAAAAATCACTCAAATGTCCTCTGACCAAGTTTTCCAAAGGCATTTTTCCATTTAGATCAGCTGTCTTAATGATTCCTTGAAAAATTATTAAAATGGAAACAGTTTGTCAGGAGCAAAACAATTCTCAAACACTTAAGCATTTACTGAGTCCTGGATTCTTTCCAAGAACTGAATATTCAGCCCATATTATGGGATTGTTGCAAATTTGCCATTGTCTCCCCTGGTTTATTTAGTAGTGCTTTGTAGTTGCTCACTTCAGCCAACGAGAGATTTCTCTCTCTTCCAGCACTGCAGGCTCTGGGGCACAGGGAGGAGGAAGGTTGGCTGCAGGAGGAGCAGCCAAGCACTGATGATGCTGCAGCCAGATTGTCCAGGTGCTCACTTGGACGCTGGAGCAGAGGCTGGGACTGGTGGGCTCAGCAGCTGCTCATAGAAGTGGCAAAATAAAAAGCAGCATCAAGGTGGAATAGGTGGTTTTGGTGGATTATAACCAAAAGTGGCTTGAGTTGCTGAATTGAAGTTCTGGTCCCACGGACCATGAGTTTTGTGGCCATGGATACCCTCAGCTGCTCCTCATGCAGGTTTACAACATCTGAAAGCTTGCTGTGCTCTTGGCTCAAAATTTTATAGTAATTGTTTTTTTCTTTTCTTGGGACATTTAAACATATTTGTGTTCACCCAGATACTTGAAATGCAAGGGTAGTACACATTTTTTCTCTGTGTGAACTCATTTCTAATTAAGGCAGAATGGAATTTCAACTTTTGAGAGGCAGAGGTGCAGAGGTTGGAACTACCCTTGGACAGCCAGTGGTGAGAAAATTAAAGTTTTGATGTCTCACAGCAAAACCATTTTGCTGCTGTATATCAGCTGAACAGATGCACATATTTTATGTTCTCATTTTAATCTGTACCAATACAATCCTTTCTTGTCTCTCTTTAATGTTGGCAGGGGACTTGTATCAACATTTACCTTTAGGTGTAAAGCTGTGGCTTCTCTGTAGGTGTAAAGCTATTGCTTCTCTGTAGGAGGTGACATTCATTTCCCTTCTTTCCCAATGGCAAAATTACCATTACTCTATTCTTTTAATTGAAAATATTGAGTGCCCACCTCTGTCTTCTCAGCAGCTCTGTTCATAACCACCACAAAGCCAGAGCACCTTCCTTTTTCACGAGTTTTCATTTAATTAACAGTAAGCCACACAAATTGGGTTGGGGAAAAAAAAAAGAATTAAACAGAACACCAGATGGCTTTGTAAATCCTATTTAAGAGAGAGCTGGAACAGGAACTTTTTTCATAACTATATTATTAATAATTAACAAATGGAGGATGCTCTGAACAGAATACTCATGGCTGCATTAGATTATAACTTTTCACTGTGTTGGACACATGACCCAGATACTTGAGGGCATGAGAACTCCCAGCTCACATTAAATGCTGCCACAGCCTGAATGGGGGCTGGAGAAGGTTAGTCCCTGAATGGGCAGGAGAACCAGCTCTGCCTGTGCTGAAGAGACAGTTTTACCCCCAAAATGTGCCCCAAACAAGCTCCACTAGAGCATCCTTAGGAAGGTTACTTGGGACAGACGGGGTTTTGCCCAGGAAGAACAGGCAAATAAGGGGGAAAACAGAGGGCAGGAGCAACCCAGAAGTGACAAGAAGTTCTGGCACTAGGGGAGCAGGGGGTGTCTCTGTGCCACGTGCTGTGGTGGGTGAGATCTGTCCGCTCTCAGTCTGCAGTTATCCTGCAGAACCCCACGGGGAGTGCCCTGGGGTGGGGCTGCTGCAGGGGAAAGGGAGAGGGCACAGCAGGACCTGGCCACGCCTGCACACCAGCC